GCTGCCTCCTAAGATTGAGTAAAGGAAGAAAGGGATAATTTTGTCAAATATGAAAATTGAAGGTTATGTATTTTTATGACATCAAAGACGGATGGGTAGAATTATTCTGATAGCCTTTGAGCCCTCAAAGAACCTGAGTTCTTCAACCACCACTTCCATTGTCTCAGATAAATGGCCATTGTTTTGGGGCTAACTAACTAGATGTTGTTTTGACTATTTAATATATCCAGGCATTCTGGGACTGGGAACAGATAATCCATTGATCCTTGAAAAATATAAAAGTAAAAAGCCAATCACACGTTTCTATTTTAGATGGAACATTGGCATCTAAACTCAAAACTGCTCTATTATAATTAGATTACACCAACCCATTATGTATGTGAGGCCTATAGATTTCTAATTATGTTAGTCTGGTTACCAAAGAAAGTCTTGCTGCAAGGAGTTATTTATGATGTTTGTTTGAGGCCATGTTAGTAGATTCCAAAAAAGAAATTGTCTCAGGAGCCGCTTACCAAGATTATACTCAAGGAATTTTGGAGAAATAATCTGATGAATAAAACAAGGAATCCTGTTCTTAAAGAGATTTTGCTCATTATAGGAGTTAAGATTTTGATGTAAATTACTGCTACAGGGAGATAGAAAACAAGAAGTGCATGAGGTGCATATAAACTGCTGTGGGAATTTGGAGCAGGGAGAAAGTATTTTTGACGGACAGCATTTATTTGGAAAAAGATCAGGGAAAGTTTAATAGGAGAGATAATATTCGTGGTTGGTGTTGAAGAATGAGGAATATTTTGAACATGTGGCAATGGAGTGTATTGTGAATATCCTATTATGGGCAGGAGTCATTTATTTATGTCTTTTTTGCATAACCTACCTTTTTGCCATATTGATAACAATATTAATCATCATCATAATAACTAACATTTATTAGCCTGCTCTATGCCAGAATCTGTTCTAAGTGCTTTACATTTATTAACTCAGTCCTCACATTATGGTCATCTGGTTGTTTTTTTAAATGAATCTTTACCTGAGGATATGCTTTTATTGATTTTAGAGAGAGAGGAGATAGAAACATTGATGTGAGAGAAAAACATTGATCAGTTGCTTCCCGTATATGCCTCGACCAGGTATCAAACCTGCAACCTAGATATGTGTTCCTACTGGGAATCGAACTGGCAACCTTTGGTGTACAGGACAATGCTCCAACCGACTGAGCCACCTGGCCAGGGCTGGTCATCTGTTTTTTTAAAGGAAATAAGACAAAGTAATTAGCTTTCCCAAGATCACACTAATAATAAATGTAAGTAGCTTGGATTTCAACCTCTGTAATCAGATTCTAGGACCAACTGCAACTGACCATCAAGCTAAACGTTTTTGCTACAATCTTTTTGTTGTTGTTGTTCTCACCCGAGGATATATTTTTTTCATTGATTTTTAGAAAGAGTAGAATGGAGGTAGGGAGGGAGAGAAACATCAATGTGAGAGAGACAATCCGATTGACTGCCTCCCACACACACCCCCATCAGGCCAGGGATGGAACCCGCAACCCAGGTACATGCCCCTGACCGAGAATTGAACCTGAGACCCTTTGGTGTGTGGGCTGACACTCTGACCATGCTGGTGCTGGTGAGGGCTGTATAATCTCTTTTTTCTTACTTTGTTCCTTCCTGCCAACATTGCTTTTTTTCTTTTAAATTTTTATCATGGTTATATGTGCATATAGTTTAAAGAGCCAGTCAATATGCACTATAAAACTTGTTAGGACAAACAGCAGTACCCCCTTTTTCCCATTAGAAGTTTCTTTAGGGGGAACTTGTTTAGCACTTGCTAGGGCAAGCAAAGTAATAGCTATGTATTTGCTGTGCTCTCCCCCTCATATCTTTCATGCTTGCTTGCTTTACGTTTGCTGTACCTCATCTAGAGGTATAGGATGGGCAGCATTCAGTGCATCTTCATTCTATAAAGAGATGCCAGCCATGAGTTGTAGTAGTTGCTCAGCTCTTCTAGTCTCTGGCTTTCTTATCAAGAACATCATCACCTTTTCCTTCTCAGCTTTATCTCCCTTCTCACTAACTCAGTACAGGCTACCGTCTTCTCTCATCTGGAATTCTGTGACAGCTTTCTAACAAGTCAGCTTGCCACCTTCCAGTTTATTCTCTATACTACAGCCAGTATAGATCTGATCGGGGCACTACCCTGCTTAAAATCCCTCAGGATAAAAGCCTTGATTTCCAGATTCCTTAAACTGGCTTACAAGGTTCTTCATGGTCATCCTGACTTTCTCCTCAACTTTTGCCATGTCCCATACCCACTCTAAAGTCCAACCATAATTGAACCTCAAATACAGTACTTTTCCCCCTCACCTCTGAGGATACCTGCAGAAGTAAAGATATGAAGATAACTGTCAAATGTGCAGCTTGGCCTCCTGAAAACCAGCAAAGCCACACAATTAGGTTTCCTAGGAAGAATAGGAATGAGGACCTCAAAGAGAGAGAGAGAACTTAGTTTGGCAACTAAAAGGTTGTTCAAGTGTCTAATGCAGTTCTAATAAACAGGCTATCTTGTTACCCCTTTAGCCTCAGGAATTTGTCAATATGGAGCAGAGACATAAGACTTTGACATAGTTGCTATGTCAGGTTCAGATCTGATGTGGCCACCCTGTTGCCTTATAGTAGAATAGTCCTGCTTTCTCTTAGAGAATGGATCTGCTTACTGTGCTATGCTAGAAAATACTCTGCCACATGTGCAGCCAACTTCCATGTCCCAGCCTTTCCAGTATAATTGTTTTCGGATTCTGCCAAGTAATTCTCTAGGTGCTGTACCTCACTGCATCAGAGGAGGGTCCTACTGTTTTAGTGAGAATTTCCTCTAGTCTCAAACCTCTCTGGGCTCCTGCCACAGCTCTTCTCAAATTCTGCTAGATCCATCTGCATAGTATCTATCAGGAATTCCAAAAAACTTTAGGCATTTTGGAATTTCCCTAATTTCAGTTGTCAGTGCAAGCTTTCCCCTATTTTTCTGTGTCTTTGCTTATTTCATTAAAAATTTATCAGGGCCTAGCGGGAGTTAGACTTCATTCTTAAATAGTCTGTGTACTCAAGTTCTATCAAGTGACTTCTACAAAGAGACTCCTTCATCTTTAATAAAAGGTAAATCATCTTTTACTTAAGGACGAAATTTCATTTTCCCTCATAAAAATGAATAGCTAAGACATGTAAAATTTTTTTAAAAAGCCTAAATGTGTGAAATAAGGGAGGATGATTTAACAGAGCACTTAAAACATGATGAGGTTTTAGGGAACCATTAAAAATGACAGTTGTAAAAACTGAATAAACATGGAAAAGTATTTGCTATTACTTTGAGAGGAAAATGATTTTTCATGGCCTATTTTCTTCTTATACCGAGTGTTTAACTTTGATAGTTACTCCTAATGGGGAGGGGGAGAAGAATAAGGACATCTTGCTAGCCAGTCAGAACAGCTGAGTCAGCTCCTGTGGTCATTTGACTGATCAGATGTCACAGTTAATGCATCCTTATGTTGAAATATTTGACAAATGTAAAAGTGTAATATAAAAAACATGCAAATTAATAATTGCAACTATATATTTTAAAAATATATACCATGCCAGATTGAAAACAGGGCAGTGGGATTACATATGATTCCCATCTTTTAAAGTGTCAACTTTAAAGAAAAAAGGAAATGCTTATTGTATGTGAGAGGTCACACACTTTAATCCTAGATCCTAAAGCAGGAGGGTTGCACACAAGGGAACTAGTTCCCCAAGGCTTTGGAAATTGTTTCATGAGTAGGACAGACTAGAACAAGGCAGGTTAGTCATTCTCTGTCCCTGAGGAACCAGGTCACTGGATGTAGAGCCAGGGTGAATAGGATTATTTCCTGTAACCTCAAGGGTGCCAGTTGTAGATTTGATTCTTTAGCAAAGTCAGAGAAACTCAAGAGCTTAAATAACTCTGTAACTTCAGGGTAAGTGCTTTTGAGGGTAGGCACAGTGTATCATCTTATTTCTGCTTTTTATTTGTAAGGAGCGTGGGGCCAAATGCTCTGCTTGTTGCATTCTCTTTGAGCCCTGACTTCTAGGGTTTTCATGCTGGCTGGAGTCTTAAAGAGCTTGTTTTCAGTAGTGACTATTTTTTTTTCTGTATATCTTGCTTTTCTCCTTCTGTTTTTGACACATAATAGTAGTGTGGAATTAGATGATAAGAAGGGATTGTATGTTGTAGCTGGAGCCCCTCCCAGCTTTGATTGTGAAAATACTTTTAAATTAGATTTTAATTAGATAGGTATCTAGTTTTTTGATCAATCTGGTATTTTAAATAAATAAAGGTGATTAGGGACACCTAAGAGCTTTCTGTGTTGAGTCTGAGATTAGATTGGATGACTTTTAACTCTCTGCTTTCAAGCTTTAGTCAGAAGTCCCAGCTTCTTTTCTCTTCTAAAGACTTAGACTTAAAAATCTAGTCCTGGCCCTGGCTAGGTACCTCAGTTGGTTAGAGTGTCATTCCGATACACCAATGTTTTGGGTTCGATCTCTCGTCAGAGCACATACAAGAATCAACCAATGAATTCATAAATAAGTGGAACAACAAATCAATGTTCCTCTCTTTCCCTTTCTTTCTTTCTTTCTTTCTTTCTTTCTTTCTTTCTTTCTTTCTTTCTTTCTTTCTTTCTTTCTTTCTTTCTTTCTTTCTTTCTTTCTT